AAGGATGTTCGTGCATCATGAGGACATTTCTGCTGTCCAAGGATGTCTCTGCACTGTTAGGACATGTTAGCTATGCAAGGACGTTTCTGCATCACGAGAAAGTCTATGCACTGTGAAGACATTTCTGCACTGGGAGGACGTTTCTTCTGTTCAAGGAAGTCTCTGCACTGCTACACTATTGCGTTGTTAGGACATTTCTGTCCTCTGTGATTCAGTTTTAGCACTCACACCTGGTTGTGGGTTCGGGTCGGGTCCAGCTGTTTGCCATCTCCCTGCAGATCCAACTAGAAATCAGTGCTGATGACTTATTGATTAAAATCAGATTACTGATCGTTTAGACTTTGATGTTTTTGCGGTGTTGGCAGCTCGTTTTGTTGGATGTTTCCTGTATTTGCTCTGAAATGTGTTTGTGGAGGCGGCGCTGAAGCTCAGGCATCGTATTGATCGTATTGGCTGTGATATTGACGAATGCTCAACCCCACCAGCTTCCACATGTGACTGCTGGTCTCTCTGCAGTCATTAAACACACAGAGTGACCCAAAGTGACCTCCATCACACACTGATGTGATTTGAATATAAAGGAGGCGTTTGCTGTTTAAAGGGACAGTGCGTGTTTTTCTAACAAGCAGACATAATTGATCCTTGTTCTGATTGTTATATCATGGCTTTGAGTAGTAATAATTAAGGGAAATGTTGGAAATATGATTCTTTTTTTTAATCAGTGGTTGATATATTTAAAACTTTAATTGAATTGTGACATCATCTCAATGCAAAGTCCATTGATAAAGGCTCCAACATGGTGTCGCCTGCCAAGTGGATGTTTAGCATCCTACTGCACATGCTCATTAGTGTTTCCCCCAGCAGGCTGGAAAGGTACATTACATTTATAAATAACAAGAATGACACCATTCATCAGAGACAGAAACTGGAAAAAAAATCTTGGATGGATCATCTGTAGCAGACTGCACTGTTGGGATAAATAGCAGAATCAAAATCAATTTATTTTACATGAGTGATTCAAAAATTAACCGTTACTCTAACCAGATTCTGTAAAAAAAAAAAAAAAAAAAAAAAAAAACACATAAAAATTATGTTGTTTTTTTTTTTGTTTTTTTTTAAAGACATCAGTGACTCCAACAGTCATGTGACCAAAATTCAGGGACTCTTTGGCTGAACTGCAGGCTGTGTTTATGCAGAGCAGTAAGAAGATAAGAGAGAGGATATGGAAAGATCAAAAATATAAATAGTAAATGATCTATAGTAGCTATAGTATGAAATATGAGCCTCGGTTACATTTTTCACTATTGGGAACCCCTGTGAGCACAGGGACAAATGTTGCGCATGTTGATTTTTTTCTATTTTTGTAAACAAATAATCAAAGGAATTTAAGTTTTGGGGTTTTTTTTTCTCCCTTTTATATGATTTGTTGCATAATAACTGTGCACAAAAGACTTTTCTGAGTTCTCTTTACCTTTAGTCATGGTTGTTCTGTTTCTATAGAGGTGCAGGACTTTATACTGCAGTGAAAAATGAGCCCACAGTGAGTGAAAATGACGCAGGAGCAATAAACGCCCAGAAACTGCTTCAGAGGGTAAATTCACTTCATCTGTGGCGCTAACGTTGAGTATAATGTGTACATTACACCTAGCCTGTAAGGTAGCGTACTTATGATGCTGTTAGCTCTGAGCTCCAATCAGGTTTCACTGTCACTTGTTTGGTCTTTGCTCAAACCAAAACCAAGCTCTGGGCCTCAGTTCAGCTGCAGTCTGGGATTTATCACTTTTCCTGACTCTGGAGACGTTTTACAAATATTAGACGGCGCTCATAGCAGTTAAAACCTCCTTGTTGATGGAAAAATGCCGTTTAGGCTGCAGCGTATATTTTTGTTGCAGTACTATGAATGAGAGCTGGTGCATGGGGAAGCTTTAATGAGGATGTGCATTGTGCTGCAAAACATCCTCAAACCAGAAGGGATACTTACACTGAAGTCAGCAGACGCCATGCTTGAGTCCAGTTGTCCTTCACACGCTGACCTGCTCGCTTCCTCTTGCGGCTGCAGCTTTGACTTCACGACGGCTGCATTTCCACAGCCTATGAGTGAGGAAACATTTCAGTGTGTCGTGAGCTAATAACAGAGGAGGAAGGATGTTTATCTGCCGGACTCGCAGCTGGAGGAAGTTAAAGATGAACATAAGTTTCAGCAGCAGCACTGAGAGTCTGCAGCTCTGCTCACATCAGCGTTTTAAAGTCTAACGAAGTGAAAACATCTCTGATGAATGAAACATGGAAACCAGACGGAGAGCGAGACGTTTAACTCAGACTGAACCTTTTACTGAGCGCTTTTACTTCAGCTGCAGCTGAATTCTTCCTTCATGCAGGAGAGAGATGGAAACCAATCAGCTGCTCAGTTTAAATTTATGACAAAATCACTGCAAGACGTCGAGTTTCTCTTTTTAAAATCTGTTCTTACAGGGAGTTCTCAAGCTCACAAAGCAGATGTTCTGCCAGAAAGTTGAAACTCTGACCAGCTGTGAACAGACATGCTGCTCAGAGAACATTACAGTCCACATAGTTCTTTTAAACACTGGAGTCTGTTGTGGTTTTTGGTAAAATTCTCTCAGAGACGAACCTGCAGGTTTTGTCACTCCTCAAACAAACTGGATGTCAGACGTTACAGCAGACTGAACTCATTAGGATTGTAAATAGGAGTGGAAACACTAACTCACTAATCTCAAATTCAAACTTTAAAAAGTTGTCAAATAAATACAAGAACAATGCAAAAAATAAACCCAATTATAATGAACAAAAACATGAGGTAAAACCAAATAAAACAAAAATTAAATAAAGTAATTAAAAATATATTAAATTAGATATAGAAATAAAAAAACAAAGAAAATAAAAATGCAAAATAAATAAATGAAATCAAAGGTCATAAGAAAAGCAATCAAAATAAAATAAAATAATAAAATATAAAATGTGAGAAAAAAAAACCCTCTGATGGAGCCTTTGAAATCAGGTACTTTCACAGATATCAGAGAGCAGCTGTTTCCTGTTCAACCAGCTGTTACAGTGTGTGTGAGAACACACTCTTATTTCTGTGTCACTGCATCTGTGTGTGTGTGTGTGTGTGTGTGTGTGTGTGTGTGTGTGACAGATGTGTACAGGGTTATATTTGTGCATCAGTCCTGAGTGCAGATTATTTTTGGCCTTTTTTTGCCTTTAAAGCGAAACATCAGCGTCCATAAAACTGAGATCCTTATATTAAAAAAAAAAAAGGCAGAACCAGAAATGGATCCTCTGAGAACCATCAAAGAAACCCAGCAGCTCCACCATCTGTCCAAACACACCTGAAAACACCTGAGAAAAGACACACGTCTACAAACACTGAATATTATAACAAATAAAATCCATCACCAAGTTAGATTTGAAAGAGAATCTTGTTGTTTTCTTTGTCTTGATGATGTCAGTAAAGGTGTGTTTGTGTCTGCAGGTGAAGGACGAGCGTAAAGCCCAGGAGGTGTTCGATCTCGCTGATTACGAACGTTCAGAGGAGCTCAGGAAGGCAAAGAGTCGCAGCAAGAAGAACCACAGTCGCTTCACCGTGCTGCGCTGCAGACAGCCGGGAAACACCGTGAGTTCACCTGTCCGCTGCTGCTGTTGTTGTTCTATGGTGGTTTTGGTGTTGTTTCCTGTCAGCCGCTGGTTCCCTGTATTCTCAGGAGTGCAACTGCAGAGTCCGAGGGCAAATTAAAGCAGCATTAGGCGACTTTCTAACATTCACTCCGTCCTGTTCATCTGCCAGCTTCATGTCTGAATGAGCACTCGGCTTCTTTTTCTGTAAGAACGCTGGCAATCCTACCAGCTCGGACGTCGTATCATTTGCACTTTCCACATGGCACAAGTCATATTAACAGATCAAGTTGTACTTCAAGTTGGTTTTTTTTCTCCACATTTCAGCATCAATCTTTATCCAAAAGACAAAATCACAACAAACCTTTCTCACTCGCTTCGCTCTATAAATTTCATCTCCTCAATCTATGAGGCTACAAACATGAAATGTCCATAATAACAAAACCGAACGCTACAACAGCAGCTTGAAGATTAATGAAACCCACCAATAACGAATTTTCAACCGGAGCTAAAGTTTGTTGCTACCAGCTGTTTAGGATTATTTCCTCTACAGTGTGTTTAATACC